AAGCATCTGAATCCAATCATGAAGAAAGCTCCAAGAAATTAGTTGATTGGAGTAAAATTAGATATATGGTTATGCATGACATATATATACATACATACATATATATATATATATAGTATGGTTTGGTTAATAAGAAACTTTGGACATGGGGTTTGCAGTTGTTTTATTTTGGTTTGTAATATAGTCTGTATGCGTGGTTTGGAACTTTACATTAGCTTTATATATAGGAAACTTAACCTTGTTAAACTTGGCCTGTTTTATATATTTCGCATATTTCTCTCTTTATCTGTATTCTTTTATCTTAGTATAATCTAATTAATTAATGTTAAAAATTTAAGGATATTAATTATATGTAAATAGAAGAAGATGTGTTCATGAAAATACTTAATTAAATAAATTTAATATCTAAAATAAAATTCCTCTTGTAAAACACAATATATATAACCAATTAAAATTTAATATACTATAACCAATTAAAATTTAATTAAGACTCTTGATCGATATTTTTATTATTTACTTTCTATCTATTCATGTTTTATTTGCTATTATTTTTTTGGAAAAAAATTAAAAAACAAATAAAAACATCAATCATGCGGAACTTACTAAATTTTAAAATCAAAAAAGTAAAAAGAGAAAACATAAATAAATTTTGACATATATGCCTTCGTATTCAATAATTGCTCAATTAGTTACATATTTAGAAAATGATATAAGCAATATTTGATTATTCATTAAGATACACAATCAATTAATTAATTATTGAGAAGTTACAAAGATTGAAACCTAACTTTCTAGCTACGAATTAAGAATAAAAGATATAATATTTGAAAAACTCTCAAAGCATTTAAAAAAATTAAATAAAGTCTCATTCTTTTATTACGTTCAATCAAGTCCATATACTTTTATTTTGAATCAAATAAACTTTTATAATTTAAAATTTAATAATTATCAATAGTTAAAATATCACATATCATTTTATGTTCGTGTAGTGATGACATAACATTAACGTGAAGTGTGAAAAATGTTAAATAATCCTGTCATCATCCATTATAACGTGTTAACATATCACATCAGCATCATATGACATTTAACGATAATTGGCATTTTATCAAGTCAACCATTGGTTACAAAGATTTAGATCAAAATAAAAATATAAAAATTTATTTAACTCAAAATAAAAGTATTAGATGAAATAAAAAATAAAAATTTATTTGAATTTTTTGTAATAATTTAGGGGTTTTTTAAGGTATTATATCTAAATCAATTTATAAGCATATTCAAGAAATAAAATACAAAGAAAAGATATAAAAAGGATGAAATTTATTTCAACTTAGTATTAGATATTCAAGAATAATTAATTGCAATTGGTAAAATAAAACAAATTACAACATTATAAATCATTGTATCAATGTAATAATCAATCAATTTATATATATATATATATTAGTGATTTACTAAATAACTTTCAGTATCAAATCTTGTTTCCTTTAAAAAGCCAGTAAATATGCAAATTCTACTCAAAAATATATAACAACAAGAGTATGCATAACACACTTGGACTTAAGTTATACCGACACCATGTTTGTCTAGGCTTGATCCTATTTTATTTTAATTATACTTTATTTTTATTTCATTTTTTATTTTCATTCTATTTAATTTGGTTTTTAATGTGCATTTTTATTGTCCTTAGTCCTTGATAGTTGGTAGGCCTATGACTCATGTACCAAATGGTTGAAAACACAACCCACAGCAAAAACATTTCGAACCTTAGGTAGCAAGCCCGCAAAGAATAAAAAAAGGCCAAATCAGGTCCAGAGAAAACAAAAGGAAAGCCCAACTATTAGCCCAAAGTGTGTCATTTTGCTGTGGGTTGGGTGTCCTATCCATTTAACACTTGAGTCATAGGTCCACCAACCTTCAAGGTCCAAGGACAATAAAAATACACATAAAAAATCAATAGAATAGAATGATAATAAAAATGAAATTAAAATAAAACTTAAAATTTATAATAAAATGGGATGAAATCCGCACAAATATGTTGTCTACACCTCATCTTAAATCAAATTTTTTTTACATAGTCTTTAAAATTAGAAATACTTTTCCTTAACTGCCTTTGATTCATTATTAATATTAATGTATAAAAATTTTGAAATCAAATTATCAAGAAATGTATACAATGCATATGTTTCATTATAATTCCATGGCACTAAATTTTGGCTCCAAAATCTAGTAGTATCATAAGCAGCAATAATTTTTAGTCCAAAATCCTTTTTCTTTTGTATATCATTTTATATTGGATATGAAAAGATATAGCTGTTGGAAGAAAAATTTTGTCCATTGCTAAAGAAAAATGCAAATTCTCCTATATATATATATATTACCTGTAATCTTGATTAGATTTTGTTTTCCAAGAAGAAGAAAGATTGAGAGAATCCTTTGCTGGGGTTGAATTCTTGACACGCATGGTCTAACTTGTTTTCCTTTGATTAATTCCAGCAACCCCAACCCATTTGCGAGTTGAAGCAGCGGACTCCTTATACTTCGAGGCACAATGTCGGGTCGAAGACTCCGTGTAGCAACAGATTCACATCGCAGGGAGCCTGCTAGCAAAGACCCAGGCCGAGATTGCAGTTCTGAAATCTCAGGCTCAACAGTTGGAGCCGAACCTGATTTCAACAATTTGTTGCAACAACAATTGGGCAATGTTGCCGACCTCAGCTTCTCCAATCAAGGTTCTTCTGGGTTTATGTGGGATAGTGGGGTTTCGAATTAATGGGGTTGAATAACAGGGAATTTAACCCCGCCCCCCAATAAAAATGCTAATCAAAATCGGTGGCATCAAGGTTGGGCATCTTCGACTTTTATTCCAATATTGATTTCTTATGGAATATCTCTCCTAATTGTTTACACTTCCTTTGATAAAGGAATAAACTTGAACCAGAGAAAATAGAGAGATCTTTCTATAGTCATGATAGAAATTTTAAAATGTTTATTTGTAGTAATAGAAATCAGTTTTTATATATGAAATGACAAATAATGATTAACAAACAGCTTTTATGCCACAATGCATGAAATAGTTTTTTATTTGTTGAATAAAGAGAATTTAAATGAGCAATTTTCTTTGTCAAAACAAGTCAATTACTAATTACCAATCAATTAAATCATAATATTTTTTATTTTCATTTTGGTATAGAAAAAAATATGAAATTGGAAAGGATATCCTTGTAATCAATCAATTGAAATTATGCTTTTAGCCTCTCTTTTTTCCCAATTTTCTTCTTTATTTTCATCATTATCTTCTTTAAAGCATAGGTTTGGGGCCAGGTTCGCGGTGCGTTAATGCTTACCTAGCCCAATAGTTTGGTCGAATGCCGAACGGCGGAAGCCCAACTGTCCAGGCAAGATATTTTTTGCGTTTATGAGTGAAGCTGCCAACACCCGGTGACCGAGCACGTGGTTTTGCGCATCCTGAATTCTTAAAGCAAAAGAAAAAGGAAAACAACCTTCAAGATATCTTATTTATAAACCCGTCCCGACTAACTTTGCTTAATTATTTGTGGGTACACATCTTTATAATATTTCTACAATTACAACCTCAATTTCTAAGTTTTGATTCTATATACGTTATTTTTATATCAATTTTTTTTATTTTTAAAAAATTGTTAAAATTAATACTAAATTGTAAAATATTATTTGATATTTGATTTAAAGTAAGGTTTCCATTAAAGGGTAATAATAGACTATGAAATTAAAATCTGGATAATGCATAAAAAGTTACAAAAAATTAAAATGAACAGGATAAGAACAGTAATATGGAATAATTTCGGGGTCAAGTTAGGAAATTATAGTTTTAGCCACAGCGTTGGCGAAGGACACCTCCGGAAATATATCAAACCTTAAGGGCTCGCGGATGTACGAACGTCATTTTCCTGTTATTTATTTGACTCACGAGCTTCACACTTTGGTCCGTTCGTAAGAAATATCGCAGGACTCTTGCGCTAGGGTTTCGAATTTTTCTTCACTACTTTTACGAAATCGCTGCTTTCGAAGGTAAAAGAATCCTCTAATTACCATATTTATTTTGTTTAATTTTTATTTTCAGAGATTTTTTTATTGATTTTCCATGAAAATATGGGTAAGATAAGGAAAATTAGGGTTCTATAATTCTTTTAATTCTATGGTTTAGATTTGGTCTCTTATTCCACTTTTCTCCTTGGGTTATTGGCATCTAAGAGGAAGTTTTGGTGCAGATCTAGAGTTATGTTTATCCTTTATGGTAGATCTGATTTTTTTGACTTCATTATTCCGTGATGTAGAAATTTTAGCTCTTTTTTTTTCAAAGAGATAAAAAAATATCGTGTAGGTCTGATGTTATTGTAAAAGGAAAACCCCTAATCGACACTTTATTGTCGCTCTGTATGACCTGCATTTTGATCAATTGGTTAATTTGGCTGATCTATTTATTTATTTGTTGCTATAATAGAATGCTGTGAACCAAAATAAAGAAATTAATGAAATATTTGTACTTTATTATTTAGAGAAAATTTCTTCTCTTATAAAGCAAATTTTTGCCCTTTGATTTATGGGGTGTGTTTTAGGAGATGACGTTGGTGCTATATTTCAAATAGATAGGAAGATTCCTGGCCTCATCGGTTCCCTGGTGTATGCTGCATAATTTTCTTTATTTGTTTACTACTTAGCTTTGGAATATCTGTTGATGCAGGGTATTGTTAATGCTGCTCTGCTCATTCTCTTTTGAACATGTTAGAATGCATTAATACTGGATGGCTAGTTCACTAGTTTTGACAAGTTACTCTGTTTGTATGTATATGTATCTTTATGTGAAATAATCATGGGAAAAAGTTGCCACGTCTTCTTCTCAGGCAATATGAGGCCCATTTTCTGTGGAAACTTTGAGTACGATGCACGTCAGTCTGATTTGGAACGTCTCTTCAGAAAATATGGGAGAGTAGAAAGAGTGGATATGAAGTCTGGTAAGTCTGCTTGTTCTCATTATCTGTGTTATTGACTATTGGATCCATGTGAAAGTCGTGGCTATCATTGCTTTTTTTTTTTTTAATTTTCATTTCATGCTATGGCTAAAATTTGGCTGGATGTGTAGCTTGTAAAGCTTTTAGAATATTGTAGGCTTGAAAGGCTCTTTTTGTATTTGATTATGGCACAGTTAAAATTGATTCCGTTTTGGTATCAATAAGTAAATTAAGCTAAACTGGTTGTTTGGTGTTGAACTTGAATTTCTCACAAAATATTCCATGATGAATTTTTTGAAATAATAACCATTTGTTTCTGATAGCAGTACTGGATAATATCATGTATGAGTCAGAGGTGACTAAAGATGAGCTCCCTCTATGTAGAAGTAGGAGCTCTCTTTGCTGGAATTTTGGTCATGTTGGATCTTTTCTGCTGGTGACGACACAGACAGGACTCTATGTCTTAGTTTGGATGTTAACTGTGCTGGTAGTACACAACATGATAGTTTGAAGCAGTTTGTGGTGATTTTTTAGGCATTTATGAGATTTTGTTTACTATTTTTTGTTTTTTTTATTTTGTTTTTAAATATAATCTTGATAATGTATTCATATACTACACAAAACAGGCTTAAATTAAATACTTACTTAAGTTTTACAATCTCTAATAGTACATGTATGAACAATCTAAAATATAGAGCAATTTGTATTCACATATCGCGTTAAGAGAGTAAGGTCCTGCAGCGACAAGGAATGTCAGTGCATCCTACTTTCAATCAATGGAGGTTGAAGTCCCTATCATGATTGCTGTGCAGCAGTATGACCTCATAACACGCAATTCAGCAACATCGATCATCCTTTGTTGAGTTTTACTGGGGGTTCAGGATGTGTTTTAAGGGAAAAAAAAGAATATTTTTGAAAAATAAGCCCCCATACTCAACATTTTCTTTGGCGCAGGATTTTCTTGGGATGTAATGGAGGGACTCCTCAGAATTCTATTTCATGCCTGTGACGAGCTTCCTCTTCTTGCTTGCAAGAAGAGTCACTCTGATCCGCCATGGCACCACCATCCCTCATTTTCCTCAGGCATTTTTCCCTTTCATTCCTCATGACTTTTGCCCAGCCCTCAAATTCAGACATGTTTCAAGGTAGAAACATTGCCGACCTCATGGCAGAGGCTGCAGAAAAAATGGAGAAGGCACACTAATTCCATTGACCTACCATGAGACATCCACTTTTGGATTCTTGTTCCTTGACATCACTTAGTTCTTCACACAAGGTCTGTTACTACTTTTACTGGTCTTAGTTTATAGATTACAAGGAGCTTGCCAAAATTTTGTCCTAGGGGTAGGATTTTAGGTGGCTTGTATCTTGCCGAAGAGGAAATGCCAACTGATTGAAGATTCCTTTGGCGGGAGGAGTTGTAACTTAGTTATCATTTTTCACCTGTATGAAACTTATAATGAGTGTTCTAACTCTTTTTTGGTGTATAGGATTTGCTTTCATATATATGGAAGATGAGAGAGATGCTGAAGATGCCATACGAGCACTTGATCGGACGGAATTTGGTCGAAAAGGACGCAGGCTTCGTGTTGAATGGACAAAAGTAATGTTTTGATGTTGTTAGTTTTGATGAAGATAAGTTTACTGCATTCTTGTTTATTGTCTCATCTTAGTAAATGCTTTTCTATTTTATGTTGTAGCAAGAGCGTGGCATTAGAAGGCCTGGGGGTGGTTCAAGAAGATCTTCGGCAAATACAAGACCTTCAAAGACTTTATTTGTCATCAATTTTGATCCATATCATACTCGGACTAGGGATTTGGAAAGGCACTTTGAATCATATGGAAAGATTGTGAGTGTAAGGATCAGAAGGAATTTTGCATTTGTCCAATATGATTCACAGGATGATGCCACCAGAGCATTGGAGGCTACAAATATGAGGTAGAAAGCCTGCATCCTAAGAGAAATCATTTAACTGTTCTTCCTTTTAATTTAAAGATCTTCTGAGTAGATTTATTGTTTGTTTCTGAGCCATGGTCTGTCTTGTATTTGCAGCAAGCTGATGGATAGAGTTATTTCAGTGGAATATGCTGTTCGAGATGACGATGAGCGCAGAAATGGATACAGCCCTGATCGAAGTCGTGATAGGTCACCTGAGAGAGGTCGTGACAGAAGGCGATCTCCAAGTCCCTACCGAAGAGAGAGGGGTAGCCCTGATTATGGCCGTGGCTCTAGTCGTAGTCCTTATAGGAAGGAGAGGGGGAGCCCTGATTATGGTCGGGGCCGCAGTCCAAGTCCCTATAAGAGAGATGGAGCTAGCCCTGAATATGGCCGGGGCACTAGCCGTAGTCCTTACCGAAGAGAGAGGGCTGGTGCTGACCATGCTCGTGGCTCCAGTCGAAGTCCTTATAGGAAAGAGAGGGCTAGTCCCGAGAATGGTCGAGGTCCCAGCAATAGTCCTTATAGGAGAGAGAAGCATAGTGCTGAGAATGATTGTAGCCCTAGTCATAGTCCATATAGAAGAGAAAGGCCCAGCTCTGACAATGGTCGTGGACCCAGCCATAGCCCATATGGAAGAGAGAGAGCTAGCCCCAAAAATGGCCGTGGTCCCAGCCCAAGTTCTATGCCTGAAGGAAGGGACAGTCCCTATGGTGGTGGAGCGGAAAGCCCCGTCAATGAGAGATATCGCAGGTCTGTATAATTATCATCTAAAATTTTGCTTCATGATTTGTGGTTCTGACTATGGAGATTGATTTTTTTTTTTTTTTTGCTTTTATCTCGTCATTGGAACTTCAGTCAATCACCACCAGCAGAGGAATGATTAGGATCTTGAGGAGCTTTGGAGGAAGACCTTTGTCTTTGTGGCAGATGTCAGTTGGAAGTCCTGTTATTGGCTTGTCTTTAATGGCAACTGTTTCTGCAATTACATTTAGAGTTGGAGTCTGACCTTATGTTGTAGTGCATACTTTTAAATCCTAGATTTCTAGTTTAGGTGCAATGGATAATCCTGTTGACTTTGAATGTGAAACTCATTTTATGGAATATGTTATTTATTTTGGTCTCCTTCATGTTTGTTTAGCTATGCTAATGTTTTATAGTTGTGTTTGGTTAACATAAAACTATATTTGGAATCAGAATTTGTTAGAATGATAAGAGATATGTTCCTCTTTAGGAATAGAATGATAACATTAACTATCATTTTTGTGTATATTTCATCTATCCGTTTTCTAGCTAGAGTAGCGTTTTTTCTATCTTACGTATATTTACTACTGACTCTAATTAATAATCAATACTGCCTACACGTTGCCTTGCCCGGGATTAAAAAATCCCTCTCTTAACGGATGAGATATGGACAAATATTCTCATTGATGGGAGAGCCCGGCTATTTGGGACATACAGATTTCCGGCGAAGGAGTACCGGATGGATGCTTTTATCCCTAAAGAGGAACATACATGTTTAGACACGCTCTCAGAGGATTGGAGCCAGGGCCACTGGTTGTGAGGTATCATCTTAATCAGGCCGAGCCAGGAAATGAGCCCACCGCTCCTGGCCTAATCAGCATCCCATTCTCCACCAGAGCAACCACATCTGGAACTGACCAAGGCTTTCTACAGATTCAGTATAGAGTTGGATCTCTTGATATTAAACTCAAAGAGATTCATGATTCACATGGACAACACAGAAAGTGTGGTTATATTCGAAGCTGTAAACGAGCGATATCATGCCCTCTACTTATAAATTCCAAGTATGATCTTACAACTTTGAATTGCATCAGAAACTTTAGAGGTTAACTTATGAATGCCGATTGTAAGCATCTAAGTGTCTTTACGTCATCACTTACATTTGTATGAGCTTCTCCTGGAAACAGAAGCAAACGAAATAATAATAATAAAAAAAACAGATTAAGCTTTTCTTATGTTTTCTGACTCGACGAAACAATGGAAGCCATCTTCTTAGTGGAGAATGGCAATTGGACTTTGATCTATTGAAGCAACTTGCTTCCCCTTTTTTTGATTCCATCGGCTGAAAGCAACTAATTGCTTGTGGCCTAATGGTTTTTTTCCCATTAATTATTCTGACCAAGAAATAAAATTGGGAGGAATGGGTTCAGTGATTCACCCTATTCCAAAAGAAGACTGCCCAAATCTCAGCGACCGTTGAGAAAGTAAAATCACAAGTGGCAAAGTGCGTCTACCAAATTGCACAAGCTTTTTCAGACAGCACTACTCTTTCTCCTAAAAACAAAAATCGCTGCCATAGCACATTGGTTGGAGCGTCTGTTGCACATCCTGAAAACAGAGCGTGGTGGAAATTGTGGCTTTCCCCTTTTAGGTGCAAATCACGATACAGATAAGCTGTCACATTAAAGGAAACACTTGAAGAAATAATAGATTCCACCGTACCTTGCGCTATCTGACGGGACCACTTTGACACGTGTCACTACGTACATGCTGTCCGCCTTGCCTCTTTCGTCATTCTAAGCCACGTTTCCAGGATACATCCGATCTTTCCCAAGCGAAATCATCCCTTCTTGCTTTGGTTTTTTTTATCCCTTCGTATTCTTTTGATTAATGGAATTTCTTCTCCTTTTCTCTGTTTGGTTTTGCTCAATGCCAAGGTTTCACCACGTAAGGGCATTGGCTAATTTTCTGCGCTATATTATTCCATTATTCTCCGTAAGAATTTATTCACTGAAAAAAGCTTTGTAGACATTTTTTGTATTTTATATTTAAATGTTATCCTTATATGATTATGCCAATCAATTAAACTATCGTATGGGTTGTCCCTATCAAGTTTTTATTTATTTACATAGCTAAAGGAAGAACACAATGGGGATATTTCGTTAATGTTATACACTGAAAAACATGTATAGTAAATCATTGAATTTTTTTATTTTTATAATTAAGAGAGAAAATATTCGAATTTTATTTTTTAAATAATAAAATAATACATCAATCAATTAATTAAATATTCAAAGTGCAATCATTGAGTCTCATACATGAAAAACATTCAACATTTGTCTTAATTTATATAGTCAAGGAGATTTGTCGTATCATATATTGTACTCTTTGTAACAAATATTCCTAATTGCTTTGCATGTTACTATATGAATATTTTCCCTAGACAGGTGACTCTTGGACTCTTAGTCATCTAAACCGCTTTTCATTTACCTGATTGCGAGTAAACTGACACACAAGCCTATGAAAAGCTAACGGACAATATTGTTGATTGAGAGATATAAATGCAGTGTACAAACAAGACCCTTTCTTCAAAAGATATCGAGTTATTTAAATAAACGTGACATCTTTCTTTCTTTTCACCTTGCTTTTGAAAAAGGAGAGACCACCATCGGAGTAGTGCTTTTCTTATTTTCATGGACGCTTTTACGTCAGCACTTTGTACAATATCTTTGAAAGTTATTTGCTTGGGTTGATGTACTTTCAGCTGCCTCATCCTTCACCACTCTATGTGTCCAAATATCGAATCCATATATATTCTTTTGGCCATATCTGATCGTATACTCATTTTACCATTTATACACACAAACACATATATATATATATATATATATGACTAATTAGTACGTACTAGTATTCTATATGATTCCCATGCACAAGCAGTCACATGATCCAGGTATTGCTGCATATATATGTCATGTATTAATAGGAATGTCAACGAGTAGAGTACTCGTTAATTTTGAAATATCCAAACTCGTACTCAATTAATAAATGAGATATCCAAATTCTATAATTACACGAATATTTTTAAAATTTATTATTCTCACTTAAACTCTAATACATACTCATTATTTGATAATTATCTGAACGCGTTTAAAAATTCGATTATGTAAAAAAATTATTAAAATTTTCTTCATAGATACCTAATTACTTGAACCTTAATCCATACCCAATATTTAGATACAATAATATTTTCATCCATATTTCATATAATTCACTAATAATTAAATTTATAAGAACACACAAATAATAAACTTTAAATTTAAATAATCAAAAACAAATATCTCAAATATATCTTAAATAACTAAAAACAAATATCCAAATAACAGGTTAAACAACATTACAAGTTTAATTAACTATATAGATTTGTTATTAATTGCATGAAATTAAAAAAAATAACTCAGTTCCAAAATTATTCTAATCTCACAACTTCTTTTTAAATATATATTTTATAAATTTAGATAAAAAATGTATACATATTATAATTAATAAGTTTATAAATTATAATTTTTGTAACGTTAATACAAAATAGAAAGTAAATATGTTTATATATTTAAAGTATATGTAATAAAAATATATATAATAGTAATTATATTATTTATAAGTTAACACAATATAAAGTATATGTATTAAAAGATATTACAACTTAATTAATAATCAGAGTTTCAAAAATTAATTTAATTAATAATATAAGTTTATTTTTAATTACATAAAATTAAAAAAAAATATATATAATTGAGTTCAGGTATAGAATACTCAAAGAGTGGTACCCGAACATGATAAAAATAGTAAAATTATTATCCGAATTCGATTATAAGGTACTTTAATCTTATATAATCAAATTGAGTATTCACGAGTACCTTGTAACAAGATACTCATTACCATCTTTATGCATTAACTTGAAATAAAGCTTGCTACACACTGATGGATCGATTTACTAAAGCTTAAATTTGTATTGAGTATGAGATGAGAAACAGAGAGGAGAGCAAAAAGGAAGGGAAAAGACGTATTTCAGGTTAAATGTAATAGCAGAAAATTGAAGAAGCTGTTGCATCAGAGAATTAACTAATACCCTTTGTAATTTAGAGAACAATTAATTCATACAAGATGTGTGAATTTTTACTTACTTTCTTGCCGTAGAGAATTAATATTTTATGTGTATGTATGTATATATGGTAAAAGAGTTTCCATGACCCTACAAATTTCCGTGACGATTTGTATTTTCGGTTGTAGCTTATTAAAGTATAATATATGGCTGCATGCGTCGGTACGTGCCATATTGAGCACGTGTGACATACTAACCCACCTCATCGTTAATTCACACTCAATGCGTCTCAACTCTGTGGAAGCAGCCAAATGGGAATGTGGCTTTAAGTGAAGAAGACAGGTAAGCAAACAAAGCAAGACCAAAGAATGGCTTTAGCCTTAAACGAAGAAGACAAAGTCAAAAAAGAATCATAGGATCCTTCCCTTAATCGCTTAGTTAGAAAAGAAAAACCAAGTGTTCAAACTAATCTAGTCTTAGTTTAGTTGATATAGCAAAACCAGCCTGAAACTTTAAAGTAAATAATTCTAGATAACATCTCTCCTTTTGAACTATAATGCTGTCCATGACTCACCCAAGGATCCCAATCAAATCTTGACTACAAGAAGAGTTATCATAGAATATGGATCCAATATTGTTATTCAATATAGAAATGTGAAGGGGATTTAGTTTTATCTCTCATAATCAATCTTTTTCCTTAAGCTTATCATCTCTTTTTGCTAAAGGCTTTTGTCCTCTTTTTTTTTTTTTTGTTTTCAGTTTCTAGATAGATCAGTCTTTAACTACCATTAGCTAGGGACAGAGGATAAGACTAAGATCAGGTTATTTAGTTAATTGAGCGGTTGAAACAAGAACTTTTAGCCAGCTTAGAGTTTTAGACCTATGAAGGAGTTACTAGGGCAGCTCTGGCTCCAAGACTTTCATTGTCTCTTAGTGCAACAATACTATTACTAGTAATGTCAACTGTTGTTTTGCGTGGGCTCGAAATAACAAACCAAAGGAACAAACTGATCAGAACTGTCTTTTCTTTTCATACAGAAAAATAACAAGCCAAAGGGTGTTATGATTATGATGAATTGGTGAAATATTTTAAGTTTAGAAAGAAGTTAACATTTTGTAAGGCAATCTACCGCTTAATAATGAAGTTGTACATTAGTTATGGAGATCATGGCTGAAAGAGTAATGAAGAGCAGTAATGGAGATGACTCCCACCTTTATTTTTCTCCCTCTTTTTCCTAGTCAAATTTTGATGCAAAAAGAAAGTCGTGGCTAGGTCATTCTAGCTTCATAGCCTTCTCAATTCAGAAGTGTCAAATGAATTAATGGACACCTAATTAAGCTTTTACAAGGTATGACGAATTCGGAATCAAATGGATTTCTCTAATTTGAATGCAATATATAGATGCATGCACATTATATCTAAAAGAATTTCTAAATAAGTGTGTAAAGACTAAAGTTTGTATCATTAAATACAAATTCAAATGTGGAAAAGGTCTTCCAGGCCAGGTTCAAAACGAGAATGGGGAAGGGGGAATAAACACATTTGTTCTCTTTTACAATCTTCTGACCTATTCAAACTAAATTGGTGATCAATGTCCGTGAATTAATAATTTGTCTCCCAATTCATAATGTTTTTGCCCCATATGCATGCTTGATCAATGCTTGGGATTCAGTTCATTGTGGGTTAATCAACTGTCACATCGGTTGCAAGACTTGTTTCTAATTGCAGCAAGCTAAGGCTCGTAATGATGGCCTTTTCTCACGACCCTCATGATTTTAGGGCCAGGAAGCTTCTTTTACCGTTTCCAATTCCCATTCTTCAAGTCAATTTTTACTCAAAAATGTTTTCACATTATCACCATTAATTTTGGCTGACATAAAGCTTGAATTTTTTTCGTTTAAATTTTCTTTACAACAATACTAAAATGAATTTTATCCTAAAGGTCAATCATGAATTAATAAAGTAAACAATCAAGGACTGATCTAATGTGAATAGGAAAAGTTAAGAAACAATCAAGGACTGATCTAATGTGAATCGGAAAAGTTTAGAGTTTACTAATTAGCATTTGGGGAAACTAGAAAATTTAGTCCTATATGTAATGCTAGTCAAGTCTTTGGGCATTGACAGGGCCATGCTGATTTCGCTTGGCTTTTTCCCCACTTTGTCCTTGTTTCTGTTTTCTTTGGTCTGGTATAGAAACAAGTATATAGCATAATTTTTAACTCAAGCTAAGGTTCCAAGGGATCCACCGAAAGGTGGAAGAACCCCTAGCCACACAATGAAGAAAAAAAAAGTTTGTAGTGCGAATTTCAACAGGGACAAAACAATATCCCCCAAAAATAGCTACGAAGGCGGTGGGGCTTCATCTATGTTGTTGAAGAATGCATAGGCATTAAATCATCCGTTTAAAGGCAACACTTTCCAAAAGAAAAGAATGGGAACTCAATTGGGGGTGGTCAAGCAAGGAATCAAAGAAATGGAGCTCTAAACAAGCAAAGTTTGCAAGCTCTCCAATCTCAATTTAGAAGAATTTTCCACACGTTTTTTTATGACCACGGCGTTGTCTTTGCGTAGTTTATGGGTCAAAAGGGGTCCCAAACCGTGGGCTCAGGCTCCATGCTCGTAAAGGGCTTGAGAGTGAGCAGTTACAGCAAAATATGTATACCAACCCACTCAGCTGTGCGGAACCATCACTTCCAACCACTTGGCGACTGTTCCTTGGTATATCTTGAGTGCGGACAGAGACTTGAGGACTTCCCCAAACAAAAGCTGACTTAACTATGGTTGCCAAAAACATGAGACACAACCCCAGATGAGTTTGAAGTACATGCCCCCCCTTTAAGCCCCCAACGCACTGTCCTTTGCCCTAGACAACAGGAACAACAGAAACAATAAACTGAATCAAATGTTTCCCCTGAGGGCCCTATTCAGAAAGGGCACAGGGGAAGGAAGGGTCAAATGATCTGAAAATGGGTATGTCTTTTACCTTTCTAGGCATATACTCAGAATTCACAAGTTCAACAAGAAATTATCTTGGATTTTAAAAGTCCCAAACATCTTCTTTTTTTGTTGTTGTATGGGGTATTATACGGGACAAGAGCAACTTTGGACTGATCATGAAACAGTGGAGTTAAACAAGTAAAGTGGCGCAATCGATAAGCGTCCAGCCACAGCGGACAATTTTAGGGTGGCAAAAGGCTATACAGTATCCTTCCGCCAAAGGATATGTGCAAGAATTCCTTTGTGTGGAGACAACAGTGATGGTCCTAATAGGCTTTATTGTACATTGCAAAAAGAGTCATGTATGAAAGTCCAATCTCCTATTTTGTCCTTATTTCCAGGACACTCGGCCAAAGTAATTGTGTGCTACAGCTTCCAGCCGAGAACGTCCACAATGCCACTTTTGACTCCTTTCTTATTTTCATTATCCTTACAGTTGATGCTCATCTGTTTTGCAAAAACCCTTTATTTAGAATTGGAATTTTGGGTTGAAGAAACATAAACAGAAACAAAAATCAGTCATTAATCTCGAATCTTAGTTAACAAAATGATGTTTTTTTTTTGGGCCCTTGCTCCCATGTGCCCCCCGCCCCCCAAGGCCGGTCGCAACACGACATTAAGGTGCTTACAAAAAGTGGCCGAGTCCTAACTTGGTGAAATGCGTGTGAATTGTAAAGCAAATTTGAAATCCTGGAGCCGTCCACCAAAACCCACTATAAAAGCCCCTCAACTTCTCTCAGATAACTCCCTCCCAACTCTCTCTCTCTCCTCTCTCTCTCGTGAGCATTTCCAGTTGAATCAAAAGATGTGCCAGCTACACCCTCTCCTCACTCCTGCAAATGCAATTCCAACGTTCCTTACCTTCTCTCAATCAGAGACTCAGAAGGGTCCAACATTTATGAACGTTGATCCCCAAAAGCCCAACAGTACCAAACCGGGAACAAAAGTACCCCTTACCAAGCCAGCCCCAGAAGCTAGACGGGGCCCCTTCTCTCCCTCTTGCAGTCAAGGAAGCCATTTCTATAGCTAAGATAGCCCTTCCTATGATACTAACAGGGCTCATGTTATACTCCCGCTCATTGATTTCCATGCTCTTTCTTGGCCGCCTCGGTGAGCTTGCCTTGGCAGGTGGTTCGCTTGCCATTGGATTTGCCAATATCACCGGCTACTCTATTCTTTCTGGTCTCGCCATGGGAATGGAATCCATTTGTGGACAAGCCTTTGGTGCCAGAAAGTATACCCTCCTTGGAATCACGTTGCAACGAACGGTGCTTTTGCTTTTCGTTTCTTCGCTGCCCATTTCTCTTCTATGGATAAACATGAAGACAACTCATACTTTGCGGCCAGGATGAAACTATAGCCACAGAAGCACAATCATATCTTATTTACTCTGTTCCTGACCTCTTAGCTCAGTCTCTTTTGCACCCGTTAAGAATTTATCTTAGAACCCAATCCGTAACTTTCCCTCTAACTATTGCGCCATTCTGTCTATTCTTCTACACATACCTACAATTACCTTCTTGTATCACACTTAAATTAGGAATCAAGGGAGTTGCTCTTAGCGGGGTTTTAACAAACTTCAATCTCGTAGGCTCATTAATAATCTATATCCTCTACTTTGGAGTCCACAAAAAGACATGGGGAGGATTTTCGATGGAGTGCTTTAAAGAATGGAAATCCCTGACGAATTTGGCCATCCCAAGCTGCATTTCAGTCTGCCTTGAATGGTGGTGGTATGAGATCATGATTCTTCTGTGCGGGTTGTTACTAAACCCCAAAGCTACTGTTGCTTCAATGGGCATTTTGATTCAAACAACGGCGCTAATCTACATATTCCCATCTTCTCTAAGCTTCAGTGTATCAACAAGAGTTGGAAATGAACTTGGAGCAAACCAGCCCAAAAGGGCCAGACTCGCTGCCTTTGTTGGCCTGTTTTGTGGCTTCATGCTGGGCTTTTCAGCACTCCTGTTTGCGGTAATGGTTAGGAACATGTGGCTAGCATGTTTACTGATGATAGAGAGATCATAGCATTAACTCTCTTGTTTTGCCTATAATCGGCTGTGTGAGCTCGGAAACTGCCCGCAACAACGGCCGCGAGTGCTAAGAGCACAGCAGGCCAAAAGAAGGAACACATAAACCTTGTTGCTTCTACCTTGTTGGTATGCCGGTGGCAGTATGGCTAGGTTTTTTGCAGGATTTGATTTCAAGGGATTGTGGCTTGGACTATTGGCTGCCCAGGGCTCCTGTATGCTGACGATGATGATGGTTTTGGTTAGGACGGACTGGGATTCTGAGGCTCAAAGAGCTAAGGAGCTGACCGGAACAGTAGCGGTTGTTGATGACAGCAAAGAAGTTGAGCAAGAGAAGCTACTCAAAGCAGAAATCAAGGAGGATTCTTTTGTTTATTAGGAGATTTAGAGAAACCTGATCATTATTGCCTCGTTTAACTAATCTCTTTGTTTTTTTTTTTTTTTATCGTTATTGTTGTTACTACTATATTTTTGTTAGTTTTCTCTAACCTGTATAGCTTGGGGCGAGGGAGGGAGAAAAGAGGGAAGTTATTCAATTTTTTTTCCTGCAAGGGCAAAGCTGTCCTTTGGACTTTCTTTGCCATTTCCCGTTGATATTCAATTGTATACAAACGAAGCAGCAAAAAGTTGAATGTGATGGGAAGGAGCAACAATGTCGGTAAAGTGTACGCTACTCACCATTTTCTGTACTGTACCCTGTTTTTTAGAGTTGTACCTGTACACCAAAACAAGTACAGCAGCAACTATTTGTAGCAATTTGATTCAAAGTCTAATATTGGTTTTATTTTATTCTCTTGACTAAGGAGACAGTTGTTCATTCTACGTTTACAATCACAGTGAGTGGAGCTTAAGCTTCCCACTCGACGTCAAAAATGTAACAGCCCATAATCGTCGACTCCACTCAATTAGGCTTGCACATAAAGGAATGGATGTGCTTAGTTTATTAAAGTCTTTGAATGTATTTCATAACAAGGAAAACAGGGTCCTTGAATGTTTTTCAAGTAAGCTCAATTCGGTTAAACAGGCATGAAGAATGCCCACTCAGCTGGGGCATCTAACAAAGCTGAGGATTCTAGAAGACGGTGCCTGATCAACGCATGTCTTATTTTCATTGCATGACACACGAGCAGGAGACGCTGCCAAAATCTTTTCTACAAGACAGTAGGATTATATGAGGCATGATCCATGTTACTTGTGAAAGGGTTGAACTTTGGAGCCACTGAATTAAGCTTGATTATGTCATTGTTTGAACTGATTTGCATTTATTTTGCCGGTCTAGACACTCTTAATAAACTGCTGTACAAAGGGTCTCCCTCTCACACTAAATGAGGCCTGCTAGTGGTATCAATTATCATTCTGACTCAACAATCCACTGGCGAAAAATTTTCGGGGAAATCACAATTAAAGCATGATTATAGGTTTAACTCCCCGAAAGGAATATATAATAAATAAATATTGATTACAAGGAAAAGAACAGATAGTAATTCAAAACCTTATACGTAATGTGTGTCCAAAATAGTAGTTGTTTATACTTCTTGACAACTCCTACCTTTAGATGTAGGAGAATTCTTCATGAGACCTCAAAATTTGTGTGGTAGTGCACACTACCCCATCAACAGGTATAGGATCTACATTAGTCCTCTAGTTTCAACATGTGAAATTTGTCATGGCATTAGCAAACCTAACCTCGGAAAAGCTACAAAGAGTAAGAAAACAAAACATAAGACTCGTTATTATGCAATATGCAGCTATATTAAATGCCTAAAAACCTTAAAAGTCGAGTTGTATCAGTTGGAAGTCTGTGAGGGTACACCACGTATCCCCCAATTTAGACGGCCGGCAGGCTAAAGACTTAGTCTCTCCCTCCCTATGCGTGGGTTGGCATACCATAGTGTTAATTCCATCATTGTTTTTTGGACTTGATTTTAGGTTAATCTAGTAATTTCCTAAATGTGTGTGATCCTAAGCTATTGACTAGTAGTCGCAGCACTTGTATTTTTTTTCCTTCCTTTTTTTGGATCATGCAACCGTTTAGATTAAAATAAGAGAGAGAGAGAGAGAGAGGGTGTGTAGGCCAACTGTGGAAGCCTGAAAATTGGAATCACTGAGGTGATAACCGAAGGAACATATGCAGATGCAGAGTGCAAGTGGGCATTGGCTCAACTTGCAGAATCCTTTTAATGGAAGTCAATCGAAGATGAGAGTCATGCTCAAGACTCTGAAAAAGAAGCTTCCCACTTAATAAGCTATGTTTCTTTCATGCATTAAAGTTTGGGACCATGAGATCTATATATAGTCTTGGAATTTGAAAATCTATCTGTTGATATTAGGGAATTCTAGAAAAGGTTTTTATGCCATTATTCCTTAACTCCTTTGGACCGTGTTCATACAATAACAATAATAATCACAATGAGTTGACCACCATTGATTTAATTTGGTTTAATTTATTTATTTACCTCAAGACTCAAAAAAGTCAATTCCAATTGAACAAGCCAAAACAAGGAGAACAAAACAAAGCTTGGATTCCTTCCACTTGAGAATCAATTCTTCTTGTTTCATTGTTTTCCTACTTAATTAGCACCGTTCGGAAAAAGCACTCAATTTCATGGCGTTAATACCATTTTAGCTTTGAAAGAATCTAAGAAAATCGAAAGTAGATGATTTATGAAAGAAGATTGAAATGACAGGATGCTTTCCATCTAAATAAAAACAGAATAATCATGCAATTAAAATCTACATCTGCATCAAAGATAGATATACTCATTTGTCCATGTACTCCATGTTATAGGGATCGCCCGTTAATCATATTACTTCAAACCCAAAATCATTTACTATATGTAGAGTTACAAAGAATCTTGATCATTGAACCATTCTCACTTGGCCATGGAAGTAATGATGCATAAAAAATAAAAGACATTTTCTATTTTATAATAAAAGAAATACAGATCTCCAACTGAAACATTTTAACTGACTTAAATTGAAGTTTTATGATAAAGGGTGGGTATGGAGAAAATATTAATGAAAGCGCATGTCCTATTTGTAAAATCGTTTTGGTCTTGAAAGTTCAAGTTACAAGAAATTTTAGTGCTCATGGGATGATACGGAGGGAGCCACAAGTGGAGATAAGCTTGAGAAATAAACCAAAAATATATAGTCAACAAAGCAAAGGAACAAAAAAAAAAAAAACCTAAAGTCAGCAAAAGTAATAAATTATAACCCATGATTATATAGAGTTGTTAATAATCCAAATTCTACAATTTTGTCAGACTCTTCTAAGCATTAGACTAATTGCCTTTTCAACTTTTTTCCAACAAAATTTAAATAATTAGCCTTTCAAAAAAAAATTTAACAATTAGAGCCTAACAAGGAATTACAATGAATGAATTGCCTTTGTTTTTTTATATAAAGAAAACTCTTTGTTAATGACTCTCGAACTGCTCCTTAATTAAAGTATTGTCCAATTGACTTTGCACTGTAAATTACAAATAAATCACGGATTTCTAACCCTAATCTCCGGAGAATTTTAATTTTCTAGGAATATCTAACGGGAACCCAAGTACAGAGCATAACCATCTTATTATCATTAGATTTTACAGCTAATTCAATTAAAATCAAACCATTTTCAGCAACAAGGAGTAGAATAGGCACATATATATAGCTGTACCTTGTACTTTTAAGGTAATGACAAAAGGCATAGCATGCAAGTTGTATTCTTTTGTAGGTTTAATTTGTTAATTAATGATAACATCAAAGGCTTTAGAATTGAAAATTACTAATTGGTATCATATGAAAAATCAAGATTAAGTAATGCAATATTTTGAATTATTATTTTATTTATACACCAAATGACAAAATTTAAAAATTTTTGGCAAGCAAGGTCAAACACATATCACATTTCATTAAATTAAATATGTCTACTCAATAATTTTCGTAATTATAAATTTGGGCAGATGTCACTTATATAAATTAATTTATGAAATTAAATCTTGGAGGTCTTGTCAATATATATATATATATATATATATATATATATATATATACACACACATGTATTGAAGTTTTTGTTAATGAATAATGCAATTTGATCCTACATTTTTATGAGTAATAATTTTCCTTGTTCTATTAAGGACAAATTTTGATAACGACAACATTGCAGGAATGGGTAGTTGACGAGAGGGCTGAATGGGAGCTGATTCCAGCAATTTTAAATTGAAGTCAAAAACATTTTGAACGACCCACATGCTGAAAGAGGGATCCTAATTTTTGTTTTGTTTTTTTCTTAGCTTTCTTCAATGTTAGCTTTGGCTGACCTTGGGATTACTATATTTCATTTAGCATTAATCCGCACTATTATTTTAATTCTTTCCTGAGTTCATATATATATATAAACTAAGAGTGAGACGAAAAAAAATAATCAACCATCAAATTAATTTATAAGTATTGACAGAAAATTTGCACGAGATTAGATATGTATCATTATTCAAGAAGGAGAATTTGGCACAAGAAGCAAGTTTTTTTTTAAAATTTTTTTTAAAAAACTTTCTGGTAATTAAAATTAAATAAACATTTTTCTATGACAATGTCCTCGTTATTATGCCTTATTAAAATTATCTTTTCTACAATTGAAAAACTAAGTTATCTTTTTATTTAAAAAATAAATGCACTCGACACATATATCTTTGACCAAAATTAAAATACTAAGTAACAGCCTGGGAGAGGGAAAAAGAAAGGTTTTCTGTTTTTGTTTGCCCCTCTATGGGTAGTATTAATGTTTAGTGATACAAATGAACACTATTAATTGGCACTATATTAAAGTAAAAATTACAAGTAATACTATTTCTCCACATGCCATGATCTTTAAGTAGCAACATTACTGGAATCATAGTATATATACTGACATATTATAATCTAATGTTGGATCTAGAAGTTAAAAGATGTGAATACTCGAACTTATATTTCATCTGTACAACAATATTTTCTTTAGATAATTTACTATCAGCACTAGCTCTTTTCAAGTGCGAAGAATCAAAGTGGGGAAGTACTAAAATAATCCTGAAAATTGTTGGGTGGCTCTTAGGACAATTAAATGCTTCTCATTCCTTAAAAATGCTCTGAGTAAACTACATCATCATTATTATTATTTTCTGACTAATAAAACTTAATTATTCAAAGGCAAGATTCAGTGATGATTCAGCATCAAACATGGTTAGATTCAAGGGTGTCGAATCAGCATAATAACCTAATCAATTATTATTAGCATAAGCTATCGAATGCAAGATTCGACAGGCTATGGGGTGATTCGCTTGGCGGTACATTAAAATATTTTTGTGCGAAGATAGAGAGAGCCCTATCTCTGCTCTCTCTGCTTAAATTATAGGCCATGAATTTCATCAACTTATGAATTTGGAAGGGACAGTGAGGCTTTCGTACGTGAAGGATGATGGAGCAAATCTTGCTAAAGATTATGGCTCTACAAGGCTACGAAAGAGAACCTTTATTGAGTCAATA